CGTTATGTCATTTAAAATTGAACAAACCTTGAATGCCATGTGTTCCAAGAAGTGAGCAACACCATTATTTTGTGGGGTCTCAGAACGAGAACCAGCATCGATCCATAGACCCACGGTGGCAGTGGCGGCACCAGAATCTTCACTGGCAACACGCAAGCAATTATCCAAAGTGGTCACTTGAGTGGCTGGGATGTTGACGAGAGTCTTCTTCAAGCTAGCGGCATCGGAAGCTTTGTAGCGCTGCAATAAAAACATTATTAACATCACACTCATACATACACCTAACCTCAAAGGCGTTCACTCCTTTCGATAGAACATCATTTTAGCAAATTTTCCATAACCCATTCAATTTATTTATTTGTGGCAAAACACCAATTCACTTTTTTATCTCAACTTATTTACTTGAGAATTTTTCCTTTCGGTTTTTTACATTTTTTCCATTACGTAATGTCCAACGGCTGGTTGCTGCTTTTGTAACAACACAGTGCCGAATTCTTCCGAAATGTTACTGGTGAAAAATTCTATTCGTCACATTTTACCTTCAACAAATTTATTCCTTTAGATAATTGTCGCATATTTTGCGAAACGCCAAGCACACGCATAGCCATGGTGAAGGGATTTTTTTATTTAAATTTCCTTGCTCACTTAAATAATTACAAAATACTCTCGTCCCAACTGGACGATATTTTTCTCATGCGAAGTTAGTTGCAACTAATGACAGTTGGTGCTGTCAAATTTTACAATTGGGTATGTTCAGTGGATTTCGATATTACCGTGTTCACAATGTTCTATTGACATTAATTGTTGTATTTTCTTCATCTGTTATGGTTTTTAATCATGGTACAATTATAAAAGGTAACAGCAAATCCCAGCTGATTTGATTCCAACGTAATAGTGTCGATATGAATTTGACAAATTATGTTTTTAAAAATCACCCAACAGGAAAATTGGTAACGCATACAATTTGAAATTGTTCTTTATTAATGTGCTCCCATATTCAATTTACTCAATCTGCCTGCTGGGAAAGTTTGAGGAAGCAAATCTTTCTTGAAGGAATAACTCGCTATTCCCAGCATTTTCATACGTGTTACACATATATATGGCAATGGCTCAATTAAAGGAAAGATGTGGAAGCGATAGAAATATAAATTTGATAGATTTTCATTCATGTTTTTAAATTTTTATTTTGAGGATTCGAAAATATTTCATTTTCAAAATAAAAATAATTTGTTTGTTTGTTTACATTTTTCTGTCAAATGAGTTGACACTAGTAGAACTTACAACAACAAATTTCCATGTGGTTGTTGTATCGTTTTTTGTACAACAACACTTGCTGTTACCCAAGGTATATTTAATAAGGTAGCCGCATCGGGCCAGCTGTTGGACAAATAAATGTCAAAAATGTTGTTGTAATGTTGAACCAAAAAATTAAAAAACAAAATTATAAATGAAAATCTCCGAATTTCTAATAGCTTTTTTGGCAATACTTTTATTAACAGTTTCTACAAGAATTTGTGTAAAAAAATCTTGCCAATCTGTTTGTTTTGGCAAAATATTTTTGACATATCAAAATACAACAACCGATGTTTGTTGTAGAAATTCGCCGATGCGGCTACCTTGTATATCTACCTTGCTGTTACCTTTTATTACTATACCATGGTTTTTGATTAAAATATCACGAATGTTTTTTTTTTTTTTAATTAAAACGGACCTCTACACTACGTGTATATGAACAGAACTTTGTAATTGAATATTTTATAATTCATTAAAACTAGCAAATAAACTACGCGTTTATGTACTTCTTTGACGAATAATTTAAAATTAATCATGATTACATTTACATTTGAGCTATCATGACTTAGATTTACGATATCCACTCGATCTCAAATGTCAATAGCATATACGTCAATATAATCCACTGAATTTTGACACGATTAAGTTGACGTATACGCTATGGAATTGACATTTGAAGTAGTAATAATTAATAAATTTGGCAGTCAATGAAGAATATGAATTCGTCTCCCTCTTAACCATATGAATAAACCTAGGTTGTGACATATATTGTGTGTTCCCGTACTGCAATAATCTACTAGATTTTACTATTTTCTTCGATATCATAAAGGAAAAAAGTGTTATCATAGTAAAAAATAGTAGATTCTTGTATTACGGAAACAGACCAATAATGATACTATCAGCTGCCTTGATACAATTACCTTATTATTATGCCTTGAGCTTGACATTATCCGTTGATCCCTACTCCACAACAAAATTGGATATTGATACATGCTCAATATTTGGTTGAGCATGCACAGTATAATGTATAAAGGCAATAAGGAATATTTCAGTCGAGTTTGATGCAATTTGGAGGCAAAATAAAGAAACTTTGTGTGAGGACCATGGTATAATAATAGAAGGTAACAGCAAGTGTTGTTGTACGAAAAACGATACAACAACCACAAGGAAATTTTTTGTTGTAAGTTCTACTAGTGTCAACTCATTTGACAGAAAAATGTAAACAAACAAACAAATTATCATCAAATTATTTTTATTTTGAAAATGAAATATTTTCGAATTCTCAAAATAAAAATTTAAAAACATGAATGAAAATCTATCAAATTTATATTTCTATCGCTTCCACATCTTTCCTATCATTGAGCCATTGCCATATATATGTGTAACACATATGAAAATGCTGGGAATAGTGAGTTATTCCTTGAAGAAAGATTTGCTTCCTCAAACTTTCCCAGCAGGCAGATTGAGTAAATTGAATACAGGAGCACATTTAATAGAGAACAATTTAAAATTGTATGCGTTCCCAATTTTCCTGTTGGGTGATTTTTAAAAACATAATTTGTCAAATTCATATTGACACTAGTATTACGTTGGAATCAAATCAGCTGGAATTTGCTGTTACCTTTTATAATTGTACCATGTGTGAGGACCTGTCTTTCCAGAAAAATATTAACAATTACGATTTTGCATGATTTGAAGGACGAAATATTACACAATTATGAAGTGAAATAATAAAATGCAAATTAATTTAATTCAATCGCAGATAAGATTAAATTAAGATCGTTCGATGTGGTTTTTGCCAAAATTGTTATCGTAGTAAAAAATAGTAGATTCCTGCATTAGGGAACATACCATGTGCCCTACCTTGTAATAATTATACTATGGGTTATACCCCCTTAAAAACAAAGAAATAATAAAAATTAAAATAAATAAAAAAATATTACAAAATTAAGTTTAAATGGGGCAAAACACATTACAGCTGAAATTACAATATGGCAATACGAACATTTTTTTACCACCATTTTCGAAAATTCGAATCCGCATATCGCATTTTTTGTTTCTCCCTATTCTCTCAGAATAAGCCAAGAATGTGAAAGCGAAAATTTTTTCACAAGCGAGATCTCTCTTTCTAGAGAATGACCAGAATAAGGCTGGTCGAAAGATGTAGTACGACAACAGACCAAATATTTCACAGCAAACTAGAAAAAAGTAAAACATATGCGCTTCGCACCCAGCTAGCGAAAGTCAGCTGTTTTTTTCAAGTCTAATGTCAAAAAATTGGACTTTGTTTACATTTTTATAATGAAATGGATTTTGGCTGGTCTCCTTGGATGACCTTATTTATATGCCTTGGATATAAGTCAGTTCAAGGCATGTATAAAGTCGGACAGTAAGTCTGCTTTTCCACAGGCAAATTTTTATTTGGCAAATACTGAGTTTGTAGGCGAGAGGGGTCCGAGGAAGAAAAACAAAAATTTGCCTGTTCAGAATTTGCCGTACACGCAAATTCTGCTTTGCTCTGTTCGTTGAAAACAATTTTGTTGACATTTCCTTTTGAACCTATTTGCTTTACTGACACACAGCCGGCCTTTGTTTACAAACCTGTTGCTTTAATTTGTGCAAGTGAAATTTAATTTTTAATTTTTGCAATTTATATAATAAAATATATAAAAAATAAATTAAATATTATAAAAAAATCTTTAAAATGCAAACACTTTTGACTTTTATTTTCTTTCTTTTGTATTTTGATTCGCAAATTTGGCAAAGAAAAATTTGGTAATGGAAAAGCAAGCGAAAATTTCAAAAGAGAAAACAAAAAAATTGCCAAATAAAAATCTGCCTGTGGAAAAGCAGACTAAGCACAGGTGAGTATAAAGTTTGCTGTCAAATCATGTTTTGAAACCTATACATACATACAAAATTATGCTAGACGTCAAAACGAAATATTAATATTTTATCAACATTTATATGGTCTTTGTGAAACACACTTGGACTATTTCAAGAGTTTAAAAAAGTAAATTATCCTAAAATTATCAGTTTTAATAGTAAAGCTAGTAAAAGGGAAACATTTCAAAGTCGCTCTCAGAGTACAAAATAATTCGAAAAATTTTGGGAACGCAAATCTAGTACATATGCCAAAATTAGATGACAATACTTCAAAATCAACATAACAGCCAATTAGAAGTAGGCATTCCAGTTTACCATTTTTACTCGGCCAAATTTCTTGAGTAAAAAGTTTACAAAGAGAACGCCATTTTGTTTGATGCTCTCTTAAATGTTTTATCAGTTTCGTGGGTTCAGGAACGGTTTTCGAGTAAAAAGTTGTAAAACTTGTAAAATTTGTAGATTCTTTTAGGTTCTGGAACGGAAATTTAATTGTGTTTTGTTTTATATTTAAAAGCGAAACAATTAGTTTTCGCCTCGGCAAAAAATTGACGGTAAACTTGAGTTTTCTCATGAATTCGCTTACTGTCCGACTTAATATGCCTTGTGTCAGTTCACGGTCGACAATTATATTTGAAGCGGCAACACTATTCTGAAGAATATCGATAAAAAAAGAACACGAAAACTACAAATGTTATCGATTAGTCATTTATACGTTAATCGATAAGAATTTTTTAGATTTTAGCATCAACAAAAAAATTTTGTTTTCACCTGCTCATTTTTCAACGAAAAATCAAGAAAGTTGTGTCGTATTAAGAATTTATTTTTTTATATTAAATGGCTGGTAATTTCTGGCATAGTTCACATTCACAACAATGGATCCTAGATCGTCAGGACTTAATACGTGAACGTCAATACGATTTGCAAATTCTCACCGAAGAGGAATATCAAAAAGTTTTCATTTTCTTTGCAAATGTTATTCAGGTTCTGGGCGAACAATTGAAACTTCGTCAACAGGTTATTGCCACCGCGACGGTATATTTCAAACGATTCTATGCACGCAATTCCCTGAAGAACATCGATCCATTGCTGTTGGCTCCAACGTGTATATTGTTGGCTTCTAAGGTGGAAGAATTTGGAGTGATATCAAATTCTAGATTAATTTCAATATGCCAGTCGGTAATCAAAAGCAAATTTAGTTATGCTTATACTCAGGACTTTCCCTATCGCACCAATCACATATTGGAATGTGAATTTTATTTATTGGAGAATTTAGACTGTTGCCTAATTGTGTATCAGCCATATCGGCCACTGTTACAATTGGTACAAGATATGGGTCACGATGATCAGTTGTTGACGCTGAGTTGGCGTATTGTAAACGATTCGCTTCGAACCGATGTGTGCTTACTGTATCCACCGTATCAGGTATGTTGGAAACAATTGATTCCTAATATTATTTTTTTTAATCTTTAATTCTTCACTTTTTTCTTGCAGATCGCTATTGCGTGCCTACAAATTGCATGCGTCATACTACAAAAAGATTCCCAGAAAAGCTGGTTTGCCGAATTAAATGTTGATCTGGATAAGGTACAAGAAATTGTGCGCGCTATAGTCAATCTATTTGAATTATGGAAGGACTGGAAGGAGAAAGATGAAATACAAATGTTGTTGGCGAAAATACCGAAACCAAAACCAGCACCTCAGCGTTAAAAATTACACATTACTGTAAACTTTATTTATTATTGTATAAGCTATAAATATAAGACAAAAAAATCGTAAATTCTTGTGTTTTGTAACTAAAGGTACTTTGTATGGCCAGTTGAAAATTTCGTATCCAATAGTCTGGCCTTGTCGACAATTTGTTTTGTTTGATTTTTATCGATTTTATTCAGCTTCAAATCAATGTCACGACTGAATGGTCTTCTTTCGGGTTTTGAGCCGCTTTCTTTTAATTCCTTAGCCTAGAATTTGTAAAGAGAAGTGTATAGAATTCGTTTTAACGGTCTTGAAATACGCCCGCTTACCTTTCTCTTTTCTTCTTTACGCAATTTCTTTTGATGTATATCCACCAAAGACTCCTCCCGTTTGTGTTTCTTTTTGTATTTCTTGGCCATACTTTCCTGTTCTTCATCTCTTTGTTTATCGTACATAGCCTGGGCACGGGCTTTCAGTGATTCCTTTGATGTGGTTGGCTTTGTGCGTTCGGATTCTTCAGACTGTGGTGTTTTTGTCCATGATGATCTAATGAGATTTCATTGTAAATATATTATTAAAATCTGTTATACCAATATTTATTTATATATTATATTTACCTATCACTAAAATCGGGTCTCTCCTTTCCTTGATAGAAACCTCGTTTTAAATTGTTGAGGGCTGCTAAACCTCCCTTCATACCCACATCCGGTAATTCTAACATCCATTCCTCGCGTACAGTCTGATCCGTGGTAGAGCCGGGTAGAAGACCATCAAGAGCTGCCATTTTCAGTTCTAATGCTCTTTTTTCTAATTCCAATTGTGCAGCGGAAATTTCCTGACCATTATTAACCGGTACGGGTCCGTAGGTTCCATGTAAGCTTTCTTCTTGTTCTTCTTCACTGGCATTTGATTTTTGCTCATCTTGTGTAGCATAATTTTCAATTGACTTCTCGCTCTCTAGGCATATATTTTTCGGCAATACTGGACCTATAACACCGGGTTTTTCATTGACGTTGACGGTGGATTTATTCACTAAATGAGGTGGTAAGGCGGGACCAAAAGAATCAATTTCATTTGTTTTGCTACTTGTATCAACATCTCTGGGAGGTGCAATGGGTTGAATCTGGATCAAATCCTTTTCTCTGGTAGATTTTGAAGATTTCTTTTCTTTGCGGGACTTTTTCTCCTTCTTGTGTTTTTTGGATTTCTTTTTATGTTTTTTACTCAGTTTGCGTTTTCTTTCATATTCCGATGATGATGAGGATGATGTGGTACTAGAATCACTATCACTAGACATTTTAGAGATGATTTTTTGTTATGGTTTGAATGCGATTGAGTAAGATGATGTAAACTAAAAATAAAAATATAGAGAGAGAAAAACATTTTATTTTTATTGGCGAAAATTTGTTTTATTTATTAGATTTAACAAATGATTACAAACTACAATATAAATACAATTTTATGCACTTAAGAATAGGAAACGAATATTACAATATAGATTTAGTACAGAGATCCCCATATATTAAAAAAATATATATAACGCGGATTTAGGAGTAAAGCAAATAAATTATAAATGTTTAATATTGCATGACGTAGCTAGACGCAGTTAAACTGGATCGCGGAATTAAACCAAGCATGTTTTCAAGAACTCTGGCAAATAAACCTTAACAAAATTTCCCATTATTGTGTTAAAAATATTAAAAAAAAATGTTCCAAAAACGTTTATTAACATGTTGTATACACAATGAAAAGGATACAATTGACAGTTTTTTGGCGAGTACTTATAGAAATAGTGTAAATTATTCATGATCAACTGTTAATATACTACAATGGCAATGCATTAAATATATTTTTAGGTATGTACAAATCAAATGTAAGATATAACGAATGGGAATTTTTAAATGATAACGATATATTTTTTACAATTGTATACTTTTTGCGATATGTAAAATTTCATACCAAATAAAAAAAAATAGGAAAGCTACACTTTTTATTTTTAATTCTACTACACTACCTTATATTTTATAACAACAAACAACAACAAAATCACTAACAATTTAAGGAAGCATTTGTTTTAAAACAAATTTTGTTGAAAATAAGCTCTGCTTTAACTTTTTTTATTATTCGCCTCAAACTTCTTCTACTACAGATAAACCGGACCGATTGTATATTTATAATTCGGCCAATAACAGCAACAATATTGTACACATTGGTGTTTCCATTTTATTTAGCAAATGTTTTCATTGCTTTGCGACCAGCATATACTAATGATTTTGTTATACCAGCACTTGGTATATTTTTCAGGGTTTGTGTTATACTGCTACGCCAGACTATATCATTTACCGACATTGCGACAATTTCATGCAGATTCTTTAAGGCTGCCAATGGTTCAACTATATCAATGTAGCTACCCTTGAAAACGGCATTGCGTATTAGTCGCCTTCGTAGTTCAGCTGGGGCTTGACGCAGGTGATATTCCGTTGCTTTTATTGATTTGTCCTGTTCAAATTGGGTTACAACATTTTCCGAACCCTTTTCCTTCGCGGCAAAATCGACGGCCACATATTGAGCCAAATCTTTCATGGCCGGCTTGTACAACTCGAAAAAGTCATTTTCTTGGGCCTTCACAATATTTGCCACTTTGTTTTTGTTCTCTCCGAATATCATACGGAAATCTCCTTTATAACTTAGATTGGCTATGGCATGGAACAGCTGATATGAAGTAAACTTCTCCGGTAACATTATCAAAGCTATGTGAAATGCATTTCGTAAATTTGTGGCCAAGGCTTGTTTCATTTGTTCGTCATCGTCTGGCGCCACAATATCCTGGACCGGTTTGTGTAGACGTCCTGCCATATACAGATGCCTCCATTCCAGTAAATCTTGTAGCATTTGTTCCTTTGAAATGACACCGTATTTAATTTGCACACCCAAATCGGGCAATGGCACCAATGTATTAAAATAAACACCGGCTCCAAAATTCTCTTGATATTTCATAATAAACTTTGGTCCCAAATGTCGCATTGCCGAATAGTGGCTCTCGTGTCGGCTTATGTTCTCTGCATGCCATCCCAATGGATCACGGACACAAAATACCAAATCAATAATATTGTTCTTTTGCTGATTTATATCGGCATATCCAATTTGTTGTTTAACACCAGATCCATATGCAAAAACATACGAGATACCACCACGGGGAAATCGGGCCAAAATATCTTTATAAAGAGTCATGTTTTGCTATACCTATCTACAGTATATGAGAAGTAATGTGTGGAATATTTACTTGTGTACTGGGTAGTTTAATATGAAATATATTTTCATTCAGAACTGGCCCACTTTCTTTAATTTCTTCCCTTTTGGAGGAACGAACTAGTTCATTGGAACTATTCCGAGAAAGGAACGAACGGAACTAGTTCCAGTTCTTTAATTAATATAATTCCTTTCTCTGATCCAGTTCCTTTTTTGAACTATTTGAAGCAAAGGAACTGTATGGAGCAAAGGAACTATAAAGAGCAAAGGAACTATATGGAGCAAAGGAACTATATATGGAAAAACGAAAAAAAAAAATAATAAAAGAGAGAGAGAGAGATTCAAAAGAACAGTGGGAAGCCTTCAAGACTCCAGCCTTCATAAAATTCGCTTGTTAATCGTCGTTCTGCCAAGACTCAAGCGACGTCGTACGCAAACCTTCGCCAACAAATGGTCTGTTCCAGTACTTTTTATACCCTCCACCATAGTATGGAGGGTATATTAATTTTGTCATTCCGTTTGTAACTCATCGAAATATTCATTTCCGACCCTATAAAGTATATATATTCTTGATCAGGGTAAAATTCTAAGACGATCTAGCCATGTCCGTCCGTCTGTTGTAATCACGCTATCTTCTGAAGGAATTGAGATAAGGTGCTGAAATTTTGCATAGGGTTGTCTTTTGTCTGCAGGCAGGTCAAGTTCGAAGATGGGATATATCGGTCCACGTTTAGGCATAGCTCCCATATAAGGGTACCCCCCAATTTTCGGTATTTTGGGGTTCTTGAGCGCGTTTTTCAAGCGAATTTGTAGTAAATGTATCCACAAAAAATTATAAATATAGGTCCACTTTTTCTTGTAGCCCCCATATAACGGTACCTCCTAATTTTCAGTATTTTTTGGGTTTTTATCGTATTTTTCACCGAATTGGCTGTAATTTAGTATTTTGAGTTCTTAGCAGGTACCAAATCTCTCCACAAAAAAATTTAAATATAGGTCAATTTTTTCGGATATGCCCCATATAAGGGTACCCCCCAATTTCGGTATTTTGGGGTTCTTGAGCGCGCTTTTCAACCGAATTCGCTGCAATTTTGTACATTGGGTTCATATTGCGTACCAAATATCTCTACTAAAAATTATAAATATCGGCCCACTTTTTCTGGTAGCCCCCATATAAGGGCACCCCAAATTTTCGGTATTTTGAGGTTCTTAAGCGCGATTTTCAACCGAATTCGCTGAAATTTGGTACAGTGGGTTCATATTGAGTACCAAATATCTCTATTTAAAATTGATTCAATGCTTTACCAGTTTTATGGGTTCAGGAACGGTTTTCGAGTAAAAAGTTGCAAAACTTGTAAAATTAGTAGATTCTTTTAGGTTTTGGAACGGAGCTAAAATAAAAACGACGACTGAAAAAATTGAAAAACGTTCCACCTGCTAACGAATGGGAGGAGAAGACAAAATGGCCGATAAAGATGAACTCAAAATGGAATAACCGAAAGTTTACGAATGAGGTGGGATAGAGACTAAGTGGAAACCGTGTTGTTTACGAATGAGGTTTAGGCAAATTATGATTAGGGATAAGTAAATCGACTTTTGATTAATCGACTTTTTGTATTGAAAAGTCTAATGCCATGTACAGACGAGCGTTGTTCCCTCTCTCATTCGTGGTTCGACTCTTAATTATGAAGTAATTACATAGTTCAAAGGAACTACATTAAGGAACTAGTTCCTTTTTAAAAAAGAAACGAGAATGATCGATCCGCTACGTGAACTAGATTGCCCAACTCTAGTTGTGTCGTTCTGAAACGAACTAGTTCAAAGAACGACATTCTGTGAAATGAACGATCGGAACGATATCCATTCGTTCATATGTTTTCTTTAGTTCAATTAGTTTAAAACAATTAATGGTCGTTTTTTAGCTCCTGGTCGATGTTACGACTGCTACCATGCCGGTCAACTTCGATCATTTCTTCGATTTTTTCGACATTTTCGAGGACCGGCCTACGTGTGCGAGGTGCATCTTTAACATCAAAAATTCCTGAACATTTTCGTCTTTGTCAAAGAAAAATTGGGAAATGTACCGAATTTTCTCTTTGTTCACTTGCATTTTTACAATTTTTACACCCTGTAACTCACAACCGATTGCACCAAACAAAATAACAGCAAAATAATTTTTTACTGCAAAATGTCACCCTTCCAACGAGCAAAATCTGAAATTGACAGTACAGCCACTGCCGAAAACATAATGGATTTTAATGTAGAGACCTAGCATATAGTTATGGTCAACCCCTAAATTCAAATTACAGGTTAAGCGATGAGACAACATTTAGCACAGCGTACTGAATTAGGTGCAGATTTATGTATGCGAAGTTTTGTTGAAATCGGTTTAGATCTAGATATAGCTCCTATATACAGTTTCGTCCGATTGGGACAAAATCTTGCATAGCGTATTGAAATTTGTTACAGGTTGATAACCGCGAAGTTTTGTTGAAATAGGTTCAGATTTAGAAATCGCTCCGATACGCATTTTTGTCGGATTTTATGTAAACGGTGGAGTGAGGAGGCTATGTTTGTTCTATATTTATGAAATTTAGCAACGGGTATGGAATTTAGTCTTGAATGCTTTTTGTTTCAGATTTAAATATAGCTCACATATATACATCATTCCCATTTTATGTAAGTGGTGCACCATAGATCCTATTCTATTTGCTCGATATTTTGTTGTTGAAATCGGTTCACATATACATATAGCGCACTGTGCTGCAGCATACCAAATGGTGGATGCCACGGTTGCTCAAATACGTTCACTTATATATAACTCCCATACATATTTTGATCGATTTCATACCAATTATTGACATTCAATTTTTCATAAATTTCAGAATGTCCAGATTTTGATATACATATACACACATAAACCAAACATATGCAGAATGACGTGATGTAATTTCATCCGATTCCATGTACATTGTGTACTAAAGGCGCTACGCCAGTCCTATAGGCAAGACAATATATCAATCTAGATTTAGACAGCCCGCCCGCCTTTAGTCCTTTCCTTACTGCTTTATATATTGCATTTTGTAATAGAAAGGGAAATACCCTCAATTTTATTTATATTCATTGTTTTATCTAAAAGTATGAATATGCCACCACATGTATGTATGTGTGTCGGTCACATTTGGTTTCGGAGATTGCCCGATTTATTTATTCAAATATATATAAAAAGAAAAATATTTTATAGCCAATAGTCTCTATGCAGTTGGACGAGAAACGTTAAGGAAGTTAGTCAGTCGATTGGAAAGCTAGTAATCCGAATTAAATATGACTAATCAAAAGAGTGACATTGAAAAGATGAATACAGAGGAGGATGATATTGTAAATCCATGGACTGTGGCCAGTAACAGTGATGCTGGCATTGATTATGAAAAATTAATCGGTGAGGATGTCTATAAAATGCCAAATATATGTATTATATACAAAAATATATATTATGTTTTTAGAACGCTTTGGTTCAACCAGAATTGATGACCAGTTAATAGCACGCATTGAAAGGATAACGAGGAAACCAGCTCATCATTTCATTCGTCGTGGCATATTCTTTTCTCATCGTGAATTGGATACGATTTTGACACTGAAAGAACAAGGCAAACCATTTTATTTATATACTGGACGTGGTCCCAGCTCCGAATCATTGCATTTGGGTCACTTGATACCCTTTATTATGACAAAGTACTTCATTGAGTAATTGTTGAGTAGAAAAATAATTAATTTTATTTGTTTATTTCGACAAAAATAAGGTACCTCCAAGAAGCCTTTGATGTCCCATTAGTTATACAAATGTCCGATGATGAGAAGACAATATGGAAAGATTTAAAAGTTGAAGATGCTATATCACTGGCCCATGAAAATGCCAAAGATATAATAGCAATGGGTTTTAATCCGGAGAAGACATTTATATTTAATGATTTAACGTTTATGGGGTAAGTTGAAGTTGGAATATATTACACATATACAGATATTAAATTGTAAATTGCACAGAATGTGCATCATATTTTCTATAACTCATTTGTATTGTACATAAGTTCCATGTTGTATATAAATGTATAATAAGTTTGAATTGGCTCTATTTAGAACATGTAATATAATTTAATGAATCTGTAATATATTTCACTTTTTATTGTATTCACTTTTTAGTCAATGTCCTGCATTCTATCAAAATGTTATACGTATGCAAAAATGTGTGACATTCAATCAGGTTAAAGGTATTTTCGGATTTGTGGAAAGCGATTTAGTCGGAAAAATAGCATTTCCCGTTGTCCAAGCCGCACCGGCACTTTCCAGTACATTTCCATTCATATTTGGTAATCAAAAAGTCCATTGTCTTGTTCCGTGTGCCATCGATCAAGACCCATATTTTCGTATGTGTCGTGATGTAGCACCACGATTGGGTTTCCCCAAATGTGCTTTAATACATTCGACATTTTTCCCGGCTCTACAAGGTGCAAAATCAAAAATGTCTGCAAGTGATGAAAATTCGGCTATATTTCTTACGGACAAACCAGAAACGATTAAAAACAAAATAAATAAATATGCATTTTCTGGTGGCCGCAGTACAGTGGAGGAACATCGTAAATATGGCGGTGTACCCGATATTGATGTGGCATATCAATTGCTAAATTTCTTTCTCGAAGATGATGATAAATTGAAGACAATTCACGATGCCTACAAGAAGGGACAATTGCTGACAGGGGAAATTAAGAAAATAGCCATTGACGTGAGTTTAATATTTCATACAAATAGACTAATTATTTATTATTATTTTTATAATATTAAACTATTTTTATAGACTGTAACACCAATTGTGGAGTGGCATCAAGCTGTACGTAAAGAAATAACTGATGATGTTTTGCAAGCCTATATGAAAATACGTCCACTGAAATTCGAAGGCAGTTCCTAAAATATTTAATTAATTTGTAATACAATTAAAACAAGTGAAAAAGCGTTAAGTTCGGCCGGGCCGAACTTTGGATACCCTCCACCATGGATATACTGACAGGTACTAGAAATGAAAATAAAGGGAGCATACCAAAAAGTGGACCTATACCGACATGTCTAAAAACGGATTATGTATACCATAATGTAAACCATAATACAAATTTCAGAAAATTTTAATTGATAATTCAAAAGATGGAGAATATCGGTCCACTTCTTCTGAAACCTCCACATAGGGGCTAGATCTAAATGCGGCTATAGTTCATTATCGAACCTTACGTTCTAATTGTTTATCTCTCTATCCTCCGCAGGTGAAATGATTACAAAAGTGTCTTACAACCAAACTCAAAACGCGGAACAAATCAGATAACTATTTTAATATAAAAAAGGGGGTTATATCGGGGGTTATATACCGAATATTAAACATTTTTGGTAGAGAGATTTGTTACCATATACGACTACAAATTACCAAATTGCAGCAAATTCGGTTGAAAAATGCGCTCAAGAACCCCCAAATACCGAAAATTGGGGGTATTCTTATATGGGGGCTATCCGAAAAAATTGACCTATATTCATAATTTTTGGTGGAGAGATTTGGAACCTATTAAGAACCCAATGTGCCAAATTTCAGCGAATTCGGTTGAAAACCGCGCTCAAGAACCTTAAAATTCCGAAAATTTGGGGTACCGTTATATGGGGGGTACCAGAAAAAATTGACCTATATTTATAATTTTTAGTAGGGAGATTTGCTTCCCAACAAGAGCTCAAAGTACCAAATTTCAGCGAATTTGGTTGAAAACCGCGCTCAAGAACCTTAAAATACCGAAAATTGGGGGTACCGTTATATGGGGGGTACCAGAAAAAATTGACCTATATTTATAATTTTTAGTAGGGAGATTTGCTTCCCAATAAGAGCTCAAAGTACCAAATTTCAGCGAATTCGGTTGAAAAACACGCTCAGGAACCTCAAAATACCGAAAATTGGGGGGTACCCTTATATGGGAGCTATGCCTAAACGTGGACCGATATATCCCATCTTCGAACTTGACCTGCCTGCAGACAAAAGACAACTTTGTGCAAAATTTCAGCACCCTATCTCAATTCCTTCAGAAGATAGCGTGATTACAACAGACGGACGGACGGACAGACGGACGGACATGGCTAGATCGTCTTAGAATTTTACCCTGATCAAGAATATATATACTTTATAGGGTCGGAAATGAATATTTCGATGTGTTACAAACGGAATGACAAAATTAATATACCCTCCATACTATGGTGGAGGGTATAAAAACAATAAAATTAAAAAAAATTAAATAAATTTTTTGACCTAGTTTTTCGGGTTACTGAGTACAAAATTAAAAAAGTTCCTTTATCGACGGTAAAATAACTATTGTAGAATGTCATCAAGCTGTACCTAAAACAAGAACTTGTTTTACCCTCCACCATGAGGAGGACCTCTAACAGTTCTGTATATATATATATATATATATATATATGGGATCTATATTAATAAGTGGACCAATATTGATAAGTTTTGGTAGGCAGATGTCTCACCCAATTACAACTCAATATACCAATTAACTGCAAATAGGTTGGCAAAAAACATCAAAATATTTGGGACATATCTATATTAATAAGTGGACCTATATATTGATATTACGAGTTTTGGCAATGACCGCCGAGATCTGCTCTTCATCCTTACATAGGCCAGAATTACATTCCATTTCGAAAAGAGAGACCTGATTCTACAATGACCAAACATCTTTAATTCTTTTAAGCCCATAGAAATCATTGTTTTAAATCTACACTTGGAGAATACCGGCAAAATAGATTTTTGAAGTTTTGTACCAATGTTCTTCGTTCCATCTCACTGTAAATTTTGATGGTTTTACCAAAGTAATAGCTAAGAGGAGATTTAACAGTAGTATCAATTACTAATTTGATTGACTGCCATCCACATTGAGCAAGCAAAAGGCACTTCTGGCAAAGAAATAGAAACCGTAAAGACTCGACAAAATGCATTTTGACAAAATAGTTTATAAAAAAATATCCAGGGTAAATCAGGATGTTTTTATTGTATAAGCTTGCTATATAGCGATTACAACGTTTAATATTGTTCGCTCTGTTGTTATGATATCGTAACAACAGAGCAAAAGCCATCTATTGGAAATTGTTGACGTATCGATTGTCCTATCTTTATACATTTAATGGTCTGTTCCCGTACTGCAAGAATCAACTACTTTTTACTACGATAACGAATTTTCCTTTATGTTATCGAAGAAAATAATAAAATCTAGTAGATTCTTGCTGTACGGGAACATACCATAAGTCTTTGTTTCTGGTTTCTTGAAAATCAAGCGATAGAATATTTTTTTTATATTTTTTCAAAACATAACATACACAGTCACAAATTTTGTATACCCAACTAACAATTTGTTCCGAGTTGTTACCGAATTCCGAACGATACTCTACAAAACAAGGTGTATTTAATAAGGTGTAAGTGACAATCATATGGTTTTACAGCCTGTTTTTGTAAAATTCCAAACGAACGAATTCGAGTGACTTACGACCAAACTCCTAGGTTTTGAAAAATATGTCATTTATTTTTGTTTTGAATCAGAAAACCTTTACAAACATAAATAAAGATTTGGTCGTAAGTCACTCGAATTCGTTTGTTTGGAATTTTACAAAAACAGGCTGTTAGTCTTTTTTAATAATAAAAATTCAAGAAATCTACATTCATGAGGCGGGCGGAAAGGAAACCTAGGCTTAAATCAGTTATAACCCCGTTCGTCGAATGGTCCACATATTTTACGTTATGTGTGGAAATCTGTCCATAAATTCCTGATACTCATAAAATGGAGGAGATTATGTTACAATTCTCGGCGAAGGTTAAATACGCCTGTGGAAAGATTTTATACGGTCAACACAATTTCCATGATTTAGTCTTTGGCCGGGGATTTATGTCTCTCAATTTTCTTTAAGAAGGCAACAAAATTGAAAGACACTACTCCATAGAAAAAAAGATGGTAGTTCACAATATAAACACCATCAAAAGGAGCCATGGGCTGCATGTGGGAAACTTAAAATTAATCGCGACTAGGTCTTAAACTTTATTTTTCACTGACCTAAAACCGCCAATAATACACAAATTCATTAATTATTCCCCAAAGAATATTTCTTGACAAAAATAAATTAATAATTGTTTTTGTTTATTTTTGTCAAAAACTGATTGTCAGCAATTTCTATAACAACAATGATGTTTTTGTAAAATATTTGTTGTTGTATCTGATGAATACACCTTATTAAATACACCTTGCTACAAAAGTTTCGTACTCTCTCGAATTCGATAAAGAAACTTCGGAATATTATCTTACTTACTTAGCTGACTTGTGACAGAACATTTTTTCCATAAGCCGAGCTTCAAAAGGATTTCCAGCCACGTCGGTTATGTGCGCAGCGGAATATTATCAGTTGTTTTTATTCGAAAATTTATCGGATTTTTGATCCGAAATTCAGAAAATTATTGGATGTTTTATTCGAAAAAAATAATACATTTTATTTTTAGAATAAAGACATAAGCATTTATTTGCAATAATTTAAAATGTATTTCAGTACAAGTTTCTATTATTTCTTTTCCTTGAATAATTAGAAGGCTATATTTGGACATTAGAGATGGGGGCTTCTTTTTATTATCTCCATTGTTTAATTCCTTGCGGAAAATTTAAAACATTTCTTTATGGCCTGACATAGATTCCATATTGCAATGTTTGCTGCGTTTCAGGTTGTAGAAGGCTGTCTTCCATTTCATTATTGTTTGACTTGATCTTAAATTTCAATTTATTATTTTTATAATAAATTATGTTTTTTAATTTTTTGTTATTTTCGAAATCATATTTTCAAATTGTTCCTTTGGCTGCTTGCCAACAACTAAGCATATCCCAAAAAATCAAAATACAAACATTTTTTTTCCAAAAATGTCCTTATAGAATGTGTACAGAGTACTCGGAAAGAAATCGGAGAAACAGTAGACAATATCGAAAATATAGAGTCGACTCTCTACAGAAAAGTGTTTTTATTTTATTTTTTTTTACATAAAATAAACACAATTAAATTTTCCATAAAATATGTGAAGAATATTCGGAAAATAATCAAAAAAATGTTACGAGAATGCGGCAAAATTTTGATATCAGAATTCTTCGCAAAAATTGTTAGCTGGGAAGCCACAATATGTATATATATATATATATATAGATGTTTGTCCTCTAAAAAAGAGAACGTATGGCCACCTTAATATATATGAATTTGGTTATTCTCTCAAACGATATTACTGAGTCTATAATCGAAATATCTGTTCTGCAAAAACAAGATTTAGTAGATTCTTGCAGTACAGGAACATACAAAAAATATGTTTTCCCCGAAATTTAATGTTATTTTGCATGTGGTCATTAAACTGCTGACTCAAAATCAGCAGATCTAATTTAAGTGGATAATTTTTTCTTAAACGAACACATAAAAATACCTACGACTTATTTAATAAAGAGCATATGTACCAACAATATGGGGCTTTACTAAGGACCTATAATGGGGGTGTTGAGGCTTTGACACTTAACAGTGCAAAGGAGGCCGATGAGCAGGTGGTGACTGGTGTAGAGGTAACAGGTAAAGGAATTCTTATAAGAGAATTTAGCTGGTGCAATCACATAGATGTTGTTGAAATAAAACTTAAACAAGTGCGACCATTTTTACAAATTTATTTATTGTCCTTTATAGTAGGTGATGATCAAAATGATGTTGTGGATCCATGGAATGTTACCAGTACCAGCGATACTGGTATTGATTATGACAAATTGATTAGTAAGTAAATGTTTTTTTTTAATAAATTATCCATGGAATATCTACAATTGATTTATTTTCTTTTAGAGCGCTTTGGTTCATCCAGAATCGATGACGAATTGATAG